CTCTGCCATTTCTATCTGGGGGCCCAGGGACATTAGTCCCGTGCGTTGGGGACCATGTAAGCCCAATAGGTAGCAAGCATGAGGACATTATTTTTTTATCTTTTTTTAAAAAATCTACTATGTGTAAGGTTCCTTATTGTCAGTAAGAGACATTGCTCATTTTGGACGCAGCAGGCCACTACTATCAGCGTTATTCATATTATCTCAATTTATGCCTATAACAGCCCTTACAATAGTAGGTACTATTGTTCCCATTTTACATAATGGGAAAACAGAGGCTCAGAGAAATGAAATCACCCAAAGAAAGCCATTCAGTTAATAGATGTTAAGGACGGGATTCAAACCCGGGTCTTGGCTTCCAATCCTGCATATGGTGTTCCAGCAGTCCAGCACGCACCCTCTCGCTTGCTTTGCCGCCTTACTTCCTATCCCGGATGTCTTCTCCCAATTAGTAGATTTGTCATGTGTTGACACTTGTAGTCTCAGTCTAATGGCTTGTTTATTTAACTGATGGCTGCTGCTCCCCATTTGAGGCTATTAGCATTTAAACAAAACAGAACTGTTGAGCCTGGCAAAGTGACACTGTGTTGACTGCTTTGTTCCCAGTGTTCATTGTGAACATTTTCCAAATATGTATTTCAATATTCTAACAGTCCCAAACAACAGTTTGGTAACCTGCCGATCCAGCTCCACGCTCTCCTGCTTCTCCTCTCCCCAGTAGGGGCAGAAGTTTTGGCTGGGATAGGGCAAGAGCAATGGTGAGTGTCTCAGTCTGAATACTGAACTGGGCTGGGCAGGCGACTGTATCCCTGGGGACCAAGCCCGGGAGTATCCCCCTCCCTGCCTTCCACACTTGGGGAGGGACTTCAGTATGTGTTTCCAGGACAATAAGAACATCTGTGCCAAGGCAGAAGAAGGAGGAGGCTGGGCGTTCTGAGGCATCTCTGCTGCTCTCTCCACACTGTGCAATTGTTAGTGTTCGCAGTATCTGCTTGGTTCACTGATGTGTCCGTGTCCAGCAAGCTGCCTGGGGGAGGGGGAGGGAGGGTGCAGGAGGGCAGCAGTGTGGGGCTGAGGAAGGCTGGGGGCTGAAGGGTGAGGCAGGCCAGGGAGCCGGACACACTTGGAAGTCAGCAGGTTGCTGCCGTGCACAGAGTACAGGTGGCTTCTGTAAATGGGGGCAATAGGTACTTCTCAAAGGCCTGGGCTCCTGGAGTTCCCGCTGGGGCTGGTAGAAATGGATAAGGAGCTACAGGTTTGATATTATATGGCACTGTTTGCTTTACACTTGGAGGAATCTGTCTACTTCTCCGCCCCGCTCCACTTCCAGTTGCAAAACGTGTTAAAATCCAGAGTTTCCGAGCTTTTGGCAAAGCCATTTGCAGGAGCAAAAAGTCACCTCTGTGATTGAGGCGTATTCTGAGGGTGCTGGCAGCCCCTGGGTGGCTGGGTGAATTGGCTGTTGGCCGGAGATAGGAGCAAGGGCATTTTCTTAATGTTGACCTCTCACAGTCCTGGAGTTTTGAGGGGACCAAGACGTTGGCATCGCTGCTGAATGAGTGACATCAGTCACAAAAAGCATCTCCAGTCAGTTCCGGGCATCATGCTGTGCCTGGCACGAGCTAGTAATCCCAAGCGGACCCTCTGGAGTTTACAACCTTAAGTCACACGAAGACACAGACCCCAAAAGCGGGCAGTCAACTACTTACACTTGTCTGCCAATCACAAGGGACCCACTGAAGCCCTCTCCCACTCTCCCACCGTTCAGAGAGCTTCCAGTGTGGTCCGGGCATCAGGTAAGCCTGGCCGAGGTCTTTGGGGCTGCCCCCTCCCTTCCATAGGCAAGGGAACACAGCCAATTTGGGCATCGCTGAATAGACATTTTAAAAGTGTATTATGATATGTGGCCGGGCTTTCTGTCTGCTTGTCGGTCAGTCCCAGCTTAGGTCCAAGTGCCCCACCGGCGGGCCTCATACAAGGGGACGGAGGCAATGGCCCTGTGGGGCAGGTGCTAAGGCGGGGAACCTGGCCCGCGGGGCTGCGGTGGCGGGCGGTGAGGCGATGGGCAGTAGTTCCTCCTCTCTTCCTGGGTGGCCGGGCCCTGTCGCCGGCTCTCCCACCTATCTACCGGGGCCTAGAGGGCCGCGGTAAAGGGCACCTCCACTGTCCCTAAGGGCATTTTAGGGATAGTCCGCCAACCTCGTCCAGATCACAGCGAACGCCCAGCGGCGCGTTAGGGGGCACGTGTTTGAAGTGGGAGCCGGGGAGCAGGCTCTGGGTAAAGTCGTCTTGGGGGACGGACGATCCTGCTCGGGCTTCGCGCTCCCCGGCCTTGCGGGCCGCCCGGGATGGTGTCCACGCTCGCGCGGGACTCTTAGACTGGCTGCGCTGTGCCCTGAGCTGGGCCGCCGTTGCAGGGCCTGGGCGCACGGGTGAGCGAGCGAGCGAGCGAACGCGGCGGGGCGGAGGGAGTGCGTGTCCGGGGAGAGCGCGCGGGAGCGCGAGTCTCCTGGCGGCCCGGGAAGCAGCGATCCCGGGGGGCGGGCGGGCGGAGCGCCGAGGGCGGAGCCGGGGTGGCGGGCGGGAGGGGGGCCGGCGGGGCGCGGCCGGGGGCGGGGCGCCGGACCCGGGGCAGATAAGAACGAGCGGCCAGGGGAGCGAGGGCGGGCGCGAGGGAGGGGCGGGGCACTTAGAGACCAAAGAGGAGACAAAAGGACGGGCCGGGGGGGCGGGGCGTCGGCGAGCAAGGGGGGGCGGGGCGCTCGGGGTGGGGGGTGACGGCTGGCCGGGGGACGTGAGGGACAGCATAAGAAGGGAGCACGGGGTGCTGAGAAAGGGGGGCGGGAGGGCTCCATCACGCTGGCAGCCGAGCGAGCGGGAGGAGGTTGGAAGCCGCCAAGGAGCGATCGCGCAGTTGGGGGGTGCAGTGCGAGGGTTGCTGCTCCTGGGGATGGCCGGGGCTCCGGCGTCCGCGGGAGGGATACGGTGCAGCGACCCGGGCAAAGGAAATGCTGCGGGACCCCGAGGGTGGAGGCGGATGGGCGTGTGTGCCGCGCTGGGAGCGGACATTGAACGCCGCTGTTAGGGGATGAGTGAAAAGCCCACGGCGGGGGGCTGTGCACCGACGGGACGGGGCAGCCGAGGCAGGCAGCACGCAAACTGTCCACAGGGGAGGAAGGGAAGTGGACCTTACGAGGGCCGGAGAAGGGTGGCGGGGGCGGCCTGGCGCTAGGCAGGAAGGCGCCACCGCCGCCCTCTGCCCGTCCCCAGCGTGCCCCGCCCCGTCCGGGGGCCCTGAGGGCAGCGGCCTGGACCGGGGTGTGTGTGTGTGTGGGGGGGAAGCCGAGCCAGGGAGGTACCATTCGGAAAGGAGAGGGGGGCCGGGGGGGGGAAGGAAGGGAGGCGCCAGGGGTCAGAACCCTGTTGGGGCGGGGAAGGGGGGGCGCGCCACACCCTGGGAAAAAGGCTTGGGCTCATCCAGAACGGACCAATCAGCGAGCAAGGCCAGGGTGGCGTCAAGGGGCAGCTTTGGCCAATGGGAAGGGAGAACACTTCGGAGGTTCGCAGGAAGAAAAGAAAAAAAAAAAGCCCCACGAAACAACAATCGAATCCGTTTAGGGGCTTGGGTGGTTTGGAGGGGGGCATCGAGCTGGTCCTGGCAAAGTAGACAGGGATTGGACATTTGCCGGGGCACTTGATTAGGTGCTCTAGTTTACGGGGCAGGGAGGGACAGAAGTGGCAGCTTTGTGCTCTAGAGTGAAGGAGAATCTTGTCTAAGTGGAGGCAGGGGCATTCTCCATTCCCCACTAGCGGCGGCCAGTGCATTGTGGATAATCACAACCAAAGAGAGAACTTTGAAGCAGCCTTTGGGTACTGAACACTGTCCAACACGCTCTTTCCTCCGAAGTCCCAGGCTGTTACCTAACAGGATGAGCAATTGCAAGGGCCACATGTACCACTGAGAAACTCATAATTTATCATGTGGCTTTGCCTTCAGAGGTCGTGTTAGCCCCCACTTAGTGGCTAATGTGTAGCATGGGGCGTATCTTTCTCTGATATTTTCCCAGAAGATATTGGGGCTAGCTACTTTGATGTCCAACTGTTCTGGAACCGTTCTAGAGTGGCGTGCTTGGCTGAGGACCATTGGACTGCGTAGGATGAAGTTTGTCCTGAAACTGAAGCAGTGCACATGCCTGTGCAGTTTTCTGGGTGTGGTCTGTAACTTTATGTTCTCAGAGAAGCCGGACCATGGGAGAATTAGCCTGCTCGTCTATAAAGGCTGGGGAGTATCTGGACACCTGAGACACGAGGCAAGGTGCAGAAGTGGCGCATGCTGTGGAATCTGAGAGGATTCCTCATTAGGAACTCTTGGCAGGTATTTGCCACCCAGACAGGCAGGTTCCCCAGTGAAGCATCACAGGGCAGGGTAACCCTGGATAGACCAGTTTTAATCAGTGATGAGGAGCTAGTCTGGAGCTGGGAAGGGAAGGAAATAGGTGTTTCTGAAGTCACATGACCCTCATTCTGTAAAAGGAGGGGCAAAACCCGTTACAAGAAGAGAGGAAGTGCTGGATGTTCAGGACAGCAAACTGCACAAGTTGGGGGCTTTGGGCATGCAAAGTGAAGGCGCTGCACACCTGGCGACAGGACCAGTGGCAGCACTGTCCTGGTCCTGTATCATTCTAGGGCAGAATGCAGTGGTTTTCTTTGTACTCCTGCTCTAAGCTTCAGGTTAGAACACACATCGGTGTGTCACTATTTCTGACTCTCCAAATGGCCAGTTGTGGCACATTGTATCTTGCCTGTGATGTATTTAAAATCATACAAATATTCTATACTCTGATTGAGGTCAACTCTAGAAAATATTGGGTGAGAAAATCAGGTTCCCCAACAAATGCCTCCAGAGAAATGCAAGGCAGGTGCATCCAAAGGTGAGCAACTTTAAAAAAGACATTTATTCAACTGCGAGACAACACAGCATTCACTCAACTTAAGCAGATAAAAACGCCTTTATTTTTAAAATGTGATTTAGCCACACCCAGTGTGTGGAGCCAGTTGTGAAGTTGATCTTGTAGCAGTGGAGACAGGTGGAACGGTCAGGGCTATGTGTGCTGGGTACCAAGATGTCACTCCTCTGGCCATTTAGTCTGCAGAGGTATTCTGCAACTGTTTTCTCTGACTTGTAGACAGTCGTTTGGGATTGTTCTGCATGACAGAGAGGTCTGACCTTGGGGAAGAGCGGTAGCCCACATCCTCTGCTTTTATGGGCTTAATGATATGGCCTGGCTTGGTGACAATCTTGGGAGCGGTCAGTTTCTGGAAGGCCCTCTGGGTATTCCATGTGGATCCTATAGGGGTCTGGATGGTCCTTTCAAACTGCTGATGATGGGTAAAGGGATATGGAAGCACATGCACCTGCAAAAGGGAAGGAAGAAGTGATTCGGTGGGAGCCAGGCCCAGGGGGTAGCTGTTTCCTTTAACAGCAGCTCATAGGATGGGCACAGGCGGGTTTACAGGGAGATTGTGATGGGGTGAAGCTGCCCAGAGCTAGGGCTCCCACGTCACCCGAGGTCCCAATCTGCTTGAGACCATCTGAGAGCAGCAGAATTGAATTAGAACTCTCTGAGGCTGACCCAACAACTCTCTGAGGCTGACAGACGACCCACACATGTCTAACCACTGCCAGTCCAAGGCTACTGCCTCCAAGTGGGCCCTCCTAGCTAATGCCCTGACTGGAAGGGATACCTGGGCACTGTGTACCTCTGTGGGTTTATCTATCCCCTTCAAGCTCCCAATCTCTCCTCTCATGAATACATGGGACTCATCTCTAATTTGAAAGGCAGAGTTAAGAGAGAGAGGGAAAAAGGGAAGGAGGAAGAGACTGAGAGATCTATCCACTGATTCACTTCCTACAATACTCAATGCTGGCCCAGGCCAATGCCAGGAACCTGGAAATTGATCCAGCTCTCCCATGTAGTAGAGCCATCTTCTGCTGTCTTCACATCAGCAGGGAGCTAGATCAGCAGTGGAAGGGCTGGGCCTTAGACAATGGCTCAACCCTCTGTGGCACAACTCTGGCCCCAGAATTCATGTTTTAAGGATTCCAAAGACATGCTACTGCATCATAAACTCTACTGGGCTATTGTGCTTATTAGTTTTATCCTCTTTTGGCATCACAGAATGTGGAGCTGAAGACTCTAGATAAATGGCAAGGGTACTCTCTCTTGGACCCAAGGTTTGGGTTCAAGATGGGAGTGGTCCGCTTAAGTTAATGAGGAGCAGCATGGCAGAACCAGTAGCAGAATCAGAACCAAGGCCTCCTGTTTCCTTCCCTGGTACTACTACTCTCTACTCCAACATAATGCTATCTTCAGATGCTGAAGTAGCACTCCCCTAATGGCCCAAAGCAAAAAAAGCAAACAAGTAGAAAAATAAAAGGCAGTGTTTGGAGGGCAGCTGTGGCCATGCTATTTGCTGGTCCTGAAGGAAGCAGATGTTCTTTCAGTTGAGGGAATGGCCCATTCGATTAGATGGTTAGAGCTGCGTATGTCATTCATGGTGGGGGGAGGGGGCAGAGAGAGTAAAGAACACTGTCTCAGGAATACGCTTCTCCCCTACACCACGAAGCACTCTATTGTATGCTAGACCCTACGGTATATAGCTTATTAATAAGATGATAAAAATCAAGGGAGACTCTTGAGAGCTTGTCAATCAGTTTGTTACGATTGCATTAGAAACAAACAGGGTAAGACCCCAGGGAGGGGAAGGTGGCCTTTACGTTGCAGTTCCCACCCTACTCATCACCTGGAACCCCGGGCTGTTCCAGCACCCTCTGCCCCTCCTGCATCCTGTAACTGCCCACTCAACTGCCTATTTTCTACGTAATGACCTTCAATTGGGATTACCGTGGTTACAAATCAATTTCTGCAGATTGGCCCACAAAATAGATCAAATTAGAGTATCACTGAAATGTGTATTTTCACTACCTGTAGTTTTTTTCAGGAGGGAAAATGTTGACTCATTTCAATATTGTTCTGGCTGGGGACAGATCTCGGAATTGAAGAGGACATGAAGGTCGCCCAGGCCTGTCTCATTTTGAGTCCCCTGACATGTTCCCACCTCCCCAGCCTGCCTATTTTGTCTCTGGATTGTCACAAAGTTTCTCCTGACATTCTGCCTGTACTCTAACTTGACTGTACACAGTAAACGTCAGTACATCCCGATGACCATGATTCTGCTCCAAGTTTCTTTTACGAATTTCCCTAGTTACTACGATAATTTCAAATCTTTTCACCTCCTTAAGTACCAGTTTTTCTTAAGCCTTCCAACCTTTGAGCACTGCTGACTTTAAATACCAAGCCTGTGGGATGGTCATTCTTGGCTGGGTAGCGCAGTGCGAAATACAGACTTGCCAGGATGCTGCTTGTAAACGTAAGCCGCCTTCCCAGCCAGTCACTGCAATGCACGGTCTCTCGGGAATTACGAATCTCACAGGCAGGGAAAACAGCAGATTGAACTCTGCGGTAAAGATCACACCCCCCCCAAATAAAATCACACATCCCTCTGGAGCAGTGACCACTAGATCACTAGAACATTCCCCTGGAGCAAGACAGCTGGGCAGCAAAGTGAGTGGGCAGCTGGAGAGCGCTCTAACCCCACCTGATGAGCTGCCACATGGATGTTGCGCTTCTCATTGATAATCACATTGGGCAAATTCTTGTCCTTTCGTGGAGGCCCCTCAGGGGCTTTAATCAGAAACCTGGGAAGTAAAGCAATAGAACAAGGAGCATTAAGGACCGAAGTCAGAAGGGCTGGGAGGGCTCTCAAGGATGAGGTGGGAGAACGTGGCCTGGTGGCCTGTTCCTAACTCATTCTTACCGGCGTCTTTTCTTGGCACTGGGCTTCAGGCCCATTCCACCCCACTCGCCCCAGCCCGGCAGGGTCAGGTCCACATCCTTTGGCTTACTGGCCTCCACAGCTTCCCTCTTTTCTCTCAAGAAGTCTCTGATGACATCATCCCCAGCAAAAGCTTCCTTGATTATCTGCTTTTGGTCTCGCTCCTTTTCATCTTCCTGAGAAGAAACGAAGAGTGAACTAGCTGCAGCTTCATGGCAAGAACGCTTGAATTTTTGGCCTGTGACATTTTAGCGCCCCCTAGGGGAAAATGCTGAACTATGATCTTTTAAATACAAGCCAATTAGTAGCCAATCATGCTCTAATTTTCTTCTCACTAGGGCAGGGGTGGGGAACCTTTCTTCTGCCAAGGGCCATTTGCATATTTAGAACGTAATTCATGGGCCATATAAAGTTATCAACTCAAAATTATCCTGCTATAGATTTACTGAATTTCAAGTCCCACCTGTGGTTGCCTTGGCAGGACCAGCCCAAATGATTTCGTAGGCCTTATAAGGCCTGCGGGCATGACTTTTCTCACCCCCTGCTCTAGAGAAAGCTATCCCCAGCTTGATACCATGAAACACTTTTATTTTTAAAGCCATTTACTTGAAAGGCAAGAGTCAGGCACTCTCTTTCTCTCTCACACACAGAACTCTTCCATTCACTGGTTTACTCCTCAGATGTCCACATCAGTAGCCAGCCAGTAATTCTATCCAAATATCCCATGTGGGTGGTAGGAACCCAAGAACTTAAGCCATCATCTGCTGTCCCCCAGGTTCATTAGTTGGAAGTTGGGAAAGGAAGCAGATTTTGATCTCAGGCACCTGGAGATGGGATGTGGGTATCCTATGAGATGGTCTAGCCCACTGTTCCACAATGGCCACTCAGTATGACCCAGCATTAACCTTTTAGGAAGGAAGCTGAAAGGCAGAGGATCTGTGTTGCTAGCCTGAGCTCCAGGTAGCCTGGTCCAAGTGGACCCTTCCTCTAGCTCATGTCACCGAAGAGATAGATAGGCACCGCTTAACTCTAGCAGTTTCAGTCATGTAAGTGAGCGAGTGCAGGACCACGTGAGATCTCATGGAGTCAAGGAAACTTCAGGAATAGCTCAGTATTCGCTTCCAAGGGGCCCTCCCTGGGAGCCGGTAACAGCTTTGACTCCCTTCCCCTGAGGGCAGCTGGAGAGTCTTCAAGACAAGTTTTGGAGGTTCAGGGTTTTAGGATGTGGGGGATCTTGGAGGTACCCACGTACCTGGATCTATGAGAATAGTTCCAAAAATTCATGAAGGGGCTGGCACCATGGTGTAGTAGCTTAAGCCTCCACCTGCAGTGCAAGCATCCCATATGGGTGTTGTTCAAGTCCTGGGTGCTTCACTTCTGATCTAACTACCTGCTTATGACCTGGGAGAGCAGCTAAAGACGGACCAAATCCTTAGGCCCCTGTAGCATATGGGAGATGTTGAAGAAGCTCCAGACTCCCGGCTTTGGGACAGCCCAGCTCTGGCTATTGCTGTCACTTGGGGAGTGAACCAGCGGATTGAAGAGCTCCCTCTGTCTCTTTTTCTGTAAATCTGCCTTTCAAATAATGAATGAATGAATGAATCTCTGTAAAAAAAAAAATCATGGAAAAATAGAATTCACAGATGTTTAATTTGGTACAAAATGTTCTGAAACTATAAACCATATTTTCCTAATATGCATTTTGCACAGGCTATCTGAAGGCTCCTGTATGCCTGAATTTCAAAACTCCCCCCCCCGCCCCTAACAATTTTATTTGAAAGGCAGAATTACAGATAAAGAGAAACACACACACACACAACAGGAAAGCATGGAAAGCATGAGCTGCTTTTTCAGGTGTCTTAGTGGGGAGCTGGATCAGAAGTACTGCAGCTGGGACTCAAACCTGTACCCCTATGGGATGCTAACTTAAGAGGCAGCAGCTTAACTTGCTCCAAGCCTTTGTTAGATCAAAATGGAACTCTTCATTTTCTGAACATTTCAAAGCATCTTCACATTATGGCCGTCACAGGACCTAACCTGGTTGTAGACTCCCTCAGGCCTCATAACTGCTGACATATATCCCTGGGGAAAACCAGCTGCATGGACTTTCCCTTGTGGCAAAAGGACCCTTTGCGCAGCACTTCTGGATCCAGGACCCTGTCTCTGCTCACCAGCTCCTGTATCGTGGGAACAGCCAACGACTTCACAGAGGGTGACTTTGTGGTTAGGAGGTTCTGTAGATCGATCATTTGTTCCTTCTTTTTCTTCCCTGTAGGGGCATCAGAGCTCCTTGCCCTCTGCCCTTGAGCTGTGGGTCTGGGTGGCTCCTGCTGCAAGAGGTCCCCTCTTTTGCCTAGGTCGTCCAGCTCTTCTAGAGTCTGTATTCTTTCTGGTCTTTGCAGCAACAGAGGCTCCTCCTCTTCCGGGGTTGGGGTTGCCTCCTCTCTCTTGGCCTGGACAGCAGTGTCCACTGAGCTTACTTTTTGCTTCTTGGCTCGATGGTTGTCCTTGTTGAATTTCTGAGATAGTGTCCTCAATTCAGACAGCACCTCCTGGGTACTGGAATCTGGGGGAGGGGGAAGGGTGGAGATGAAGAAACTGTCAGAAAAGGGGTGTGGATGGTGCCCTGTTGATGAGTACTTGTTGCATACCCACTGGGTGCTAAGTGCTCTTTTAGCCACTCTAATAAGGATGAAGGGGGAAGAGACAACTCTATAGGCTGGGTCTCCTGGAGAGCTCACTACTGGCCATCTGTAAGGGAGCAGGCAATGGAATTTAACAATGCAAAGCAGAATGTTGGGAGGCAGACTCCTTGGGGCCCATTCCCAGCTCTGCCAATGGCACGTAGAATACTTAGGATTGTGGCTTAATTTTTCTGCATGCCATATCCTGTTTGGGAAGAACCCCTCCCCTGCCAGCCAAGTCCCAAATCTGAAAAGAGAAAGTCATTTTTAACAGGTGCCCTCTATATGCACTTCCTTCCTTGTAATCTGTGCTTTATTACTTATAAATACATTACTAAGAACTAGTACCTTCTGAACAACAGGTCTTCTCAAAACAACTCTTTGCCATGTTAAAACAGATCTTCGCTGTCATCAATACCCCTGGCACCTATGTGAAATCATGTCGCACTTGAGGACAGCCAGGTGGCTGGGTGATTTCTGAATGTGGCAGGCCAGCTCTACTGAGGCTTAAGGATCCCTCGCATTGTTGGTCTTGGGTCTCTTGAAGACAGGGCGGAGAAGCTAATGCACACAGCTTCTGAGTGTGCGCTCGCAATTCTAACGCAGCACGCTGGTTGTGCAACAATTCCTAATTATAGAGCCCCTGCCGTACAGACCAGGAAGGGGCTCAGGGTGGCTCCTTGACTTTACAAAGTGAAAACTTCCAGCTGAGTTGAAGAAGTTTCATATCATCTCACAGTCCACCTAGGCAAGCCTATAGGTCAGCAGTTTTTGAGATCTGCCACTGCCAGACGCATAGCTCTGTGATCTGTCAGTCCCAGGAATTCTAATCATACCCCCCCACACCCATTAAAACTATCCAGTTAGGTCTTTCTGCAGATGGTAAGCTCCGGAAAGAGTAGAAAATGGGTCTGAACATAGTACATGTAGAGAGGGCTGCTTGTTACAGAAAAATGCTTATTATGAGCGTAATTACTCTTTAGGGACAAATCCCCAGAGTCTAACAGCTACCCCTGAGCAGCAGGTGGGGGTGGACAGTGAGCTCTCTCTCTCACAGAGTGTGGGTAGCACTAAGCTCTCCTCATCCGCATCCCAGCTCACCTTGAGGTTCCCGACTGTCCCCTGGCACAGCATCTTGGGTGAGCTCAGCTCTTTTCCTAAGAGATCGCCTTTCTTCAAACTCTTTCAACAAAGCTTCTTCCTCTGGCACTGGCTTTTCATCCTCCTCGCTTCCGGCCAGCTCAGGGGCCATGGGTTCCGGCTGCTCTTCAGGGTCCTTCTGGATTGCAGCCCCTGTAGGGTCACTGGTGTGGGCCCTGAGCATCCAGGGGTTTGGTCCGTCTGCATTGGTTTGGACTTCATTCACTGCATCAGGGACAAGTTCTTCCTCTTCTTTGGCGGCCCTGCCCTCCTCCTCCTCCTCCTCGTTCATGGAGGATGCCTGCAGTTTCTGCGTCAGTTCTTTGTTCTTGGCTAACTGCTCCTGCATAGCCTGGCGAGCCTGGCGAAAGGAGTCACAGCACGGAGCAGTATCATTAGCAACCACAATAACACCTTTCCCCAGCCTATTTTTAAAAGCTGCCTCCCTTCAATTGGCCTTATTAAGTATTTTTTGCTTGCACTGTACACATATCACTGTGCCAATGCCATGGAATAAAAAGGAAGACTTTTTTTTTTTGGTTCCTAAGGAATCAATGTGACCCGAGGATTAAAAAGAAGCCCCCCCCCCCCCGCCATTTTACTGGACTTGGCCTTCAATGCTGTTTCCCCTTTCATCTCTGCTTCTCTACACTGTTCCTGGGCATTTTCTTCTCTGCCTTATGGATTTGTCTGATGCTGTTTTAGTTTTTCTGGTTCTACATCCAACCTCATGACTTCTCTAACTCTGCTGCTTCTGGCATCCTTCGGGACCAATATCCCATTCTTTCCTCCAGTGTCACTCTTCTGTTGCCTTACCTCCAGGTCGTACTTGGCCATGATTGCCTTTGACTTGGCCCATTTGCCACTGTTCTGGTGCTTTAGGCTCATTCGCTCCTGAAAAGAAAGGGGCACCGTGACCTCCTCTGTGCCTTCCAGGGCAAGTAGCTTCAGAGGGGGCAGGGGCAAGAAGCAAGCTCACCATCATTCTGGCCCTTTCCATTTTCTCCAGTTCTACCAGTGCAGCAAGTGGATTAACCTTCCGCAGGTGCTCAAAGTCTTTGAGGGCGTTCTTGGCCTTTCCTTTCCTCAAAATCTTATGATACCTGCAGATGGCAGATGGGGAGGAGGGAAGCGTGGAGACTGAGCTGCAGCACTGATGCCAAGGATGCAAGTGCCCATACTACCCAAGGGGTTTCCTTACATGCAAGGGACAGAATGGATCTCACAAAGCTAGCTGACTAGGGGAAGCCATGGGGTTGGCAGCTTAGTGGGACTGTTGCTCCCTAGAGTCCCCAAGGGCACACCCATGCAGAGCTCAAGGGAGAAGCAAAATAAGTTTCAAAGAGGCAAAACTAAACAAAGCCAACCAAACAAAATAATAAGAAAACTACGCAAAAAGTCCTACAGGTCTCAACAGCTACTGAACGCAGAACTTGGAGAGAATAGAAAACAAGAAAACAAGGGGGCCACTATTGTAGTGTAATAGGTACAGTCACAGTCTGTGATGTCAGCATCCCATAGGACTACTGGTTTGAGTTCTGGCTGTTCACTTCCCATCTAGATCCTTGCTAATGGCCTGGGAGAAGCAGTAAGAGATGTCCCAAGTCCTTGGGCCCCTGCACCCATGCAGGACAGAGATGAAGCTCCTGGCTTTAACCCGGCTCAACCCTGGCTGATGTAGCCATCTGGAAGTTGAACCAATGGATGGAAGAGCTCTCCCTGCCCCTCCCTCCAACTTTGTCAAATCAATCAATTAGAGAGAGAGAGAGAGAGAGAGAGAGAGAAGCAAAACCCAAAATGAAAGGCGCAGCTGTAGGCAAAAGTGTCAGTTGGGATCACTTTCACATGAACTCAATCACCACCACAGCCGACCAAGGCTCTCTCAGGATCAGCCACAGTACAGCAGCTTATTGGCACGCCTTACTTTTTGCTTTTGATTTTCTTCTCTCTTCGTGCTTTGGCCTCATAGTAGGACTGCAGAGCCCGGGCCCTCTGAAGCTCTGCGCGGCGCATCTTAGCCTGTAAGCAAACGGCACTCACGGTGACGCTGGGCCCAAGGGCAGACACTGGGAAAGAACTCAGCAGGCTTGTGCTGGTCAAGGGGCCCGTGACACTTACCTCTTCCAGGCTCATGGCTTTCAGAGAGGCCTTTTCCACAGGAGTCAGCAAAGGGTCAGTCACTGGCTGCTTGTTCTTATGGAGGAGGTTAAAGACTTCCTGCTCCAGGGGGGTTCTTGCCTTAAAAAGGTGAGAGTATGGGAAATCTTAGGCCATGTTCTTCCAGCTCTCTTTAACATCTGGCTAATTGGTGGCTTTATAACTATAATCACTAACCGGATGTGACTGGCTGGTTACAGCAAGAGAAAAATGTTCTAGGTTTGCTTGTTAAATAAAGTCTCATTTTATTCTGGTTTAAGAAACTTCAGCAAAGGGATTCAATATTCTTTGGTATTACTCAGTGTTCAGTGGTATTACTGTGTTCAGGTTCCCAACATATACAAAACCAAAATCCACTCTCTCAAGCATCTAAGTGGGATGCCCTTGAAGGCTAAAACTGGGAACCAGCAACATAATCCAGTTCTCCCATATGGATGGCAGGAACCCAGTTGAGCCATCACTGATGCTTCGCAGCACCTGCACTGGCAATAAGCTGGAGTCAGGAGCAGAACTGGGAATCTACCCCAAGTGCTCCAGTTTGGAACCACCAGCCCAAATGCCCATTCAGAAACCGTCTTGATTATAACATTCTGGGATTCCCAGTTGTAAGGCAAATGTGTACCTCAAATATACTTAACAATACAGGGGCTGTTCACAAAGAACTGGTGCTTAGGCTACTAATTAAGAAGCTCACGCCCCTTATGGAAGTATCTGGGTTCAATCTTGACTTCAGCGCCCGGTTCCACTTCTCAGCAGATGCAGACGCTGGGAGGCAGTAGTGATGACTGGGGTAATTAGGCTTCCTCACCCACAAGGGAGACCTGAACTGTGACCTACTTCCCAGACTTGGTTCCACTCCATCCCGGACTACTGTGAGTATTTGGGGAATCAACCAGTGGATGGAAGCTCCCTGTCTCTCAAACAAGCAAAAGAATATTTCCAGAGGGAAGGGGTGGGGGGAAAGGTTGGATCTTAAGCATCATTTGGCAATGACTATAACCGGGAAGTGTATCTACATAACAGCTCAGAGAACCTCGACCTGTTTCTAACCACAGCCAACTGGTACATTTATGTCTTTTGATATCATGAATTATTGATGAAAGGAAATGAGAAAAACATGACAACCTAGGCATAGTCTACAATCACTTGATGGCAAGGGTCTGTATTTTAACTTTCTGAGTACAAAAAGATACTGAGTACAATACTAACTTTAAAAAAATAATTGACTTTTATGACCTGTTTCTGGATAGTTCAAACTTAACTCATTTTCTAACTTTGGCTCCAACTCCTCAGTTCCTAGTTAATTTTTGCAGCAAGCCAGAGTCTATCCATATGAAATGAATGAACTCTATACCAGTCATTTCACATGTCAACAAAAGACCCCGTTTGCATCTTGAACTGAAATTGTGAGGCCAGCTAAAATAATCATGCCATGGTCCATTCTAGCAAGGCACAAAGATGGCACCAGTCAACAAGGCCAATTGCAAACTGCACACACATATTATACGTGGTTTTCTCCAATAGCCACACACATCACGGACACTATTAACTTTGCAAAAATCTGGGCAAACACATCATCATGCCACACAGTGCTATTGATTTAGCCATAAACACATTCTTCTGCATAATAAAAGTGCATGTTCTTCCATTTTTAGTATTTTCAGCAGTGATCAGTCACAGGCTACAAAGTGATTTATATTACAATGTTGTAATCTGCAATTCAATTCACACTTATTGATTGCAGCTCCATTCTCAGCACTCGTGTGGCGTGCCATGAATACATAATTAAGATAGTTCCTGTCCTCATAGAGCTTACAGCCTCTCGGAGCCAAAAACAAACCCAAACACCACTAGCAACATCACATAATAGGCTAAGCATCATTCTACAGTGGTCATCGATCATAGGTGAAGGAACCATTAATTCTTATTAGGAGGTAAGCTAGGCTTGGGGGAAAGCAGTGTGTTTTGTGAATTAGCCTTTTAAGGCCTAAGTATAATTCTGTCAGGAGGAAAACAGCTGAAACCAAGAAACGAGCGTAAGGGGAAACCAGCTATAGGGAAATCAGTGGTAGGTCAGAGAGCAGTGTGTTGTCCAGGGTAGCTAAAAAGCAAAGTGCTTTCGTTTTTATTCTACAGGCGAGAGAGCCTTTGAGAGTTGTTAAGCAGCAGAGTGGCAATCAGTTTTCTGTTTTAGAAAGAAAGTCCTGGCGATATTGTTGAGGACAGATGTCAAGTTTCCAAATGAAAGGTGATGAGGCGCTCTACCAGGAGAGTGACAACGAAAATGCAAAGAGAAACCAGGGATCGCAGAGCTATTGCAGAGACAGAATTGATAGGACTAGTCAGCTGTATGGGCTGGGGAGGGAGGGCAGTCAAAGGGATAAACCGGAACCAGATGACAAGCTTTCTGCCTGGGTAACAGGGGCAGGGATTTAAACCACTCACAGAGTTACAGAATGAAGGTGCTGATGTGGTGCTGTAGGTTTTGGGAGACTGGAGAAAGGAAGTGCAGAACTTCCTTCGGATTGTGCTAAAATTTAAGGTGCACGTATGGAAGACCTAGGTGATATTTGCTGGTCATATGGAATATGGGTTTGCAGTTTGAAAAAGGGCGGGGAAGATGAAACAGTAGATGACACCAGCTCTTCCCAAAGCGCATCTCCCCTCATTTGAGAATGACAAGATTTATTGCATTTTGGAAAAAATTTAAAACTTAACTCCACTTTTAATAACATCAGGTTTCACACCCTGGGTTAGAAAAGAGGCTTCCTCACTATTTTTTTTTTTCATAAGTTGTTAATTTCCAATCTCTAGTAGGGGAATGTGGCAGCACTTTATAGCAGCAGAATCCTCCCACCCTCCTAGCTGATGATGAGTTCAGTCAAATACTAGTGGAGCCTATCAGCATGGGAAAGTGGGGGGAAGTATGAAGAAGTCACCTTACTTCGAGTACTTTGTAGTTTACAAATGCTTACTCATGCATCAGTTCATTTAATTCTTCTGAGCTAGAGTTCAGTGAAATCTTGGGAAGCTAGTACAGATTTTTATGATCAAAATAAAATAAATAAATCAATAAAATCCCAGAAACTCTAGCATTTACGCACTCCAAGCTGTAAGGAGTTGCTAGCTAAATATCACCCCTTGGACTAAGTGCTCTCTTATCTGTGTGCCACACTGACGTAATTTTAGAATGAAACGAATGGCACAGTGCATTCAACACACAGCATCTGGGCCCCACTCTGTCCTGAAGAGGTTGGACCAGTCTTACTGTAAGCTCTTCCTCCTCCACCGTTTCTTCTTTCATAAACAAACTGGCATTTTGCTGCCATTTCCCAGATTAGTGTCATTTGGAAAAAGCAAGGTACAGATACTACCATTTTCGCAACTAAAATGAAAGTAACCATGAAGACATAAAATAAAACTTTAACAACCACAGTGAAAAATTAGTAAAGTAATTATTTCTGGGTTAAGTACAGGCTAAAAATCAGTAGATGGGCTGGAGGATGGGTGCAATCAGATTTGTTACTAGGTATTTCCTACACTTTTTAATTTTTGAATCCTGCAAATTATATTACCTCTGATTTTTTTTTTCTAAACTCTCTCTTTATCCTGCAGCCACACTTTAAAACTAATCTTTTTTCATGTAGAAAAGGAAGCATTCTAGAAAGAGAATCGTAGTGACTTTCAAAAACATCACCAGATATATTTATCCCCATTATCAGCAGATACTTGAGTTTTAGCTATCTTGGCTAACAACATTTATTTTAATTTCCCTAGGATCAGAATTGGTCATTTATACTGACAGCTGTTTTAATGCAAAAATATAACCAAGCCTATGTACTACAAGCAAATGCTCTACTACTCCCCACTTCCCTTTCTGTTGGCTAAACTAAGGTGACATAAGGTAGGAATTAGGTTTCTTTTGTCCAATCACATCAACTGCCAGCTGTGAAATCTGCACATTGCAAAACATGAGTTTCCAAGTTCAGTTTCATTTCGCTGTACTCACCTTCCAGCCACCTAGCACATGCTCAATGGGAGCAAAGGCTGCTTGCTCCTTCTCCAGGGGAAACACCAGTTGCTTTGCTTGGCGGTTCTTCTGAACAATAGGATCCCATTTGGAGAGGACTTGGGAGGTTTTATTGAATGCCACTTCTCTGTGGATCTGAAGCAGGCAAAGTCCCATGAGATTAAGTATCAAACCCAACAGAGTAACAAGAAAGTAGGAGGTAATGTTGTTTCCTAGCCCCAAGAATCAGGATGTGGGAAAACGGCTCTGGCTTACCCTCTTGGGGCTGCCATTTTTAATCTTGCCTATGGTCAAAAAAATTATAACTTCTTTTTTGATTAACCCCATCTTCTCTTGTCAACTTCATTTCTTCCCAACAGGGAACCACTTTCTCAGTGACTTACCCGTTCAGCCTCTTCTTTGTTAAGAGGTAATTCCAGAGTCTTCTTTGATTTGACTCTGTTCAGTTGCTTTTTCACAGTGGCCAATGAGGATGAAGCTTTGACAGGCCCGAGCAGATCTGAAAGGACTAACTTTTCGCCTGTTCCTGTATAAAGGCCAAACTTTCTGGTTAGACTGAGAAGTGAAACAAAACAAGCAACAACAAAAAACTAACAAACCCCTTGGAAATTCATTCCTCAGGGGGTTGCCATGTAAATCAGCACCATGAACTTGCTGAAAAATCTCCTATGAAGGTAAAGGACACAGCACTATGGAACCTGGTCCCTGTGTGCCTTTCCACCTTCACATCACTCTCCACTTTCCACTATGCTCTAGTCACACAAGGCACCTTTCTAGTCATCAAACATCCTTACCTGTTTCTTCCTTAGCCCAGTAAGTACCAAGTTCTCAATTCTGTGAATATTTCAATGGCATAAAATTGCCACATTGTTCAAGTTTCATCTATACATGAAATATACATATATATTTAATCTATATAGATTATAAGTTAAAACTGTCACACTAGCTGTTCTCTTGACTGCAATGTTTTCTCCCACCTTTTAGACTTTTCTTATCTTTCACATCTCAGCTACAAGTTTGTTTATTTTTAAGATTTATTTATTTTTTATTACAAAGTCAGATATACAGAGAGGAGGAGAGACAGAGAGGAAGATCTTCCATCTGATGATTCACTCCCCAAGTGAGCGCAACGGCCGGTGCTATGCTGATCTGAAGCCAGGAGCCAGGAACTTCCTCCAGGTCTCCCACACAGGTGCAGGATCCCAAAGCATTGGGCCATCCTCTTCTGCTTTCCCAGGCCACAAGCAGGGAGCTAGATGGGAAGTGGAGCTGCTGGGATTAGAACCGGCGCCCATAGGGGATCCTGGCGTGTTCAAGGTGAGGACTTCAGCCACTGGGCCACGCCGCCAGGCCCTACAAGTTTGTTTCTTCAAAAACCTCTCATGACCAACCAATCTAAAGTAGCTAGCTACTCAGTCACTTGACTATATCATTCTGGGAAAGGGGAAGCTGGAGGTTAGTGAGGTGAGCACTAAGCTTTTGGAGCTCCATAGACTCCATTTTTAGATAATTTTCCGCTTTTTCCCCCCCAAGATGTATTCATTTTATTGGAAAATCATATCCACAGAGAAAAGGAGACAGAAAGATCCTCCATCAGCCGATTTATTCCCCAAGTGGCCTCAATGGCTGGAGCTGAGCCTATTCAAAGTCAGGAGCCTGCAACCTCTTCTGGGTCTCCCATGCAGGTACAGGGTCCCAAGGCTTTGGGCTGTCCTCTACTGCTTTCCCAGGCCACAAGCAGGAAACTGGCTGGGAAGTGGAAAAGTCAGGGATATGAATCCGTGGCCATATGGGATCCTGGTGCAAGGAAGGCAGGGACTTTAGCAGGGCCACTGCGTTAGATATTTTTCTTTGTAAAACTTACCTTCACAACTGACGTTGAACTCTGACACCTTCAGACTAGCCTCAGACCTCTCAGCCAATTTCCGCCTGAAATTAGGCAAAAGAATTTAATAGGAATGGATTGATTTTATGGGGTATGTGTGTCGGAGGACCAAACACTTCTCTCTTTAAATAAGTCTTGCTTTGTAGGGGCAAGTTTTACTCCAAAGCAATCAGGAAATCCGTTCCTAACCTGGATTTGGTAATCTAACCCTTGACTCTTTTTCTTTATGCATATTTAACCATCTAAAACAAGATAATGAAGTATAGTGGAAAACACATTGAACTTAGTATCCAAATAATTGAAGGTCTGACACAAATAACAGCATGAAGAATAATAGGTAGCAATTACATAATGCTTTCTATGTTCCAGGCACTGTTCGATCTTTACATTAGGCATCGAATGGAAGCTGCAAAGCAGTTGCATGGAATCAGCTAACTGGAATCTGCTCAAACAAGGCAAACTGTTACCTGTTCTTTCCATCGAGGGAGCTGATAGCTTCCAGAAGCTTTTGGTGTTTTCTCTCTCCATCACTATCCCCCTAGACACAGAAAAGGGAAAAAACTGTCCGAATGTTGATGTAGGGTAGGAGAAACAATGTGGAAATTGAGGACCATGTTAAATTTTTCATTCCTTTGGTCAGTAGAGAACTTAGGAACCAGACAGGTATCATGAACGAGGCGTTTTGTTTCAAAGAACTTCAAAATCCAAACTCCCCCATAAGAAGGGACATGGATCCTTAGTAACTTGGGAACTAAAGCCATTCGCTTGTCTTAACTTGTTTTGAGAAGAAGAAAAAGTTAATGTTTCTCTACAGTATGTGGTTGTATAGCTTGACACCAAAACACACATGTAAGTTATAGCCAGTCACTAAGGTGTCTTTTCCTAGGGAAAAAAAGCAACCCCCCACCATTATTAAAGCATATATAGAGAGACATACATATTTAACTAGCGTTATTAAGTAACTCCACAGAAATCCATACTTGAGAGATCTTATAACAACATGTATTTGGGGCTCATAAATGAAAGCAGACAGGACAGCGATTGTAACTTAGAGTCTTCAAACTTACACAGCACTTAACACGAAGTTCTAATGAACTGGAATTTGAGATTAAGCAAATATATAGGGAATGTTCCCACTGCAATCCTTTCTAAGAATGTGCAGTGTATCCCGATTTTGAGGACAGTTGAGCAGTTGTCACCCACCTCGTCTTCACTGGCGCTCAAGGGGTAGTCTTTTGGTAAATCCACTAGTTCTTCCCGTTGGCCTAAAGCCAGAAGGCTGGTAAAGGAGGCAATGGAAAATATCATCATTTGAAATCACTCTTTCAAAAACAAACTCTAGTAAGACATGCATACTCGTATCCTGTGGAAGTGTTGTAACTGACTTTGGAAATGTGTCAAGCCATTAAACTTAGAAGTCATTCGGCATCTCCAAGAACTGAGCTAGTGGTTGGTGACATCCATGAAGAGCTGCATGGAAGAAGGGATGCAGCACTCTTCCAGGGCTGGCCCTGCATTTCCAATGGACCCGTGGGATGCTGTAATGACAGCAGGTCCTTGGTAAGGTGGCCAAAGCCACTGATGCTGGGTCCTTGACACGAGGCAGTTAGATGATTAACTTTTCTAATCATCTAACAAAACAGACAGCTTGAGAGATGTGGGCTTTTGTCAAAAGTGGATTCTATTAATTTGTTCCTAGGAATGGAAAAATGCGGAATTAAAAAGTAGTTAAGTAAGCCATTTCCCCTGGAGCAGGTGCTTTGCGCTAGAGCCTGGTACCTAAGGCAGCGCAGAGTACTTGTTAACTCTAATCGGTACTGAGCAGGCAAACACAAACAAAAGGACTATTTTTAGATTCGGGGGGGGGAGGGTAACTAAATATCGGAGCACTAACTACATGTAGGAAGACTATGATTAGGAAATGTTTCCAATATCAGGAAAGTTTAGAACGTGCTGTCCCGCCTGCGCCGAGATTGTTCAATAAGGCCCGGCAGAGGCAGAAAAGGGAGTCACGTGACAAGGCAACACAGTAAACTGTATAGGCAGAACCCACGTCAATACTTCCAGGGATGCCGCTGAAAGGTTCAGGAGGCAATTACACGCAGAGTTTAAACAGTTGGAAGCCCAAGTGTGAACCAGTGGCAAAGTATTAGGAGGGGAAGTAACTGCCACCTGTTGAAAGCCGGCGGCCCGTTTCTAAATGCCGGGGAATCTGGCCCTCAACGAGACTCAGATGTCCCCATCTATCCTTTTCAACCCCTCACCTCTTCGCATCCCGGATCGCGCTCATCTCAGGAACCTGCCTCGCTCACATGGGAGAGCGGAAGTCGAAAGGGAGACGATTTCCGTGCCGGCCGCAAGCTATTTTAGTTTCCGCCAATCGCTTGCGACACGCGATGTCACTTCCGCTTAGCGCGAACCGAATGGGAGACGCCAGCGGCCGGGCGTGAGGGCGGGGTGGCCTGCGGGAACCTGGGCGGCTGGCGGCGGCGCGGCGGGTGGGGCTTGCCTCGTCCCGCCCCCGGCCTCCAGGCCCTCCGTGCGTGAGTTTAGGTTGTATTCTTCGTCCTTTCCTAATCCAAAAGGTGAGCCTGCAGTGCCCCTCTCAGTGAGCGACAGCGGCCTGCATGGCTGCCGGCTATGGCGAGTCTTCCTTGCGGTCGGTGTTTTGCGGAGTTTCAGCGAGGAGGGTGAATATTCATTTCCTCTCATCTGAAAAGGAAAAACTCCCCTCTTTTCCCATTCTGCAAAATACCGTTCACGAATGGAGTGTGGTGCTCGCTTCGGCAGCACATATACTAAAATTGGAAGAATGGAGTGTGACAGTTGCTACACTTTCTCATTGACCGCCAGCTTTTCAGTTTTTATTTGTTTTAAAGTGCAATGGTAGGGCATGACAAAAATCTTTTTCAGCCCATTTCCATTTTGTTGCTGGTCAAGCGTTCTACTGATCTATCTGTGGGTCGGATTTCCACTGCTTCCCCCAAGTTGCTAAATAGATACTTGTTAATCTTTCATATTTGATACCTAGGTTGCTTTCTTATTCATTTAGGAAATGTTTCTTACCATACACTGTAACACAGAACTCTAAGTGTTGGAGGTACATTGGCAACAAAAGCAGGTATTTCCCTTGGATTCTCAGAATTTAGTTTCTAGTTGTGATACAGACAGTTTTGTATTGAAACTCCATCCAGGGATCCCGGGACCTCTCTTTCCTGGGTCTTAGCTTCGTGACCATCTGGATGGCTGTCCTTCAGGCCTCCTGAATATGCTGAATGGGCTTATTCCCTAAGTGACAATCTTCCCCAAAATTCTGCTCTCAGCGCTGTTTATTTCACATATCCTGCCTAGATGAAGCCGCCTTTAGCACCTGTATAACAACAGAACCGAAACCTCATGGGCTCCCTACCAGTGGCTGGGATTGTCTTCCAGCTGTCCTGCTTGCCTCACAAATTCATCCAATCTGAAGTGACCAATGCTTTGTATCGCTGCCATGGAAGTTCTTCCATTTCTTGGGGGTGATTGTTGTTTTTGGTAAGAAAAACAATGTATATATCAATGTATTTGAGACAGAAAGAGAATCTTCTGTTTGCTGATTCACTTCCCAAATGGCTGAATGGACCAGTACCTGCCTCCTGTGAGATGCTAGCATTTGCAGCAGCTTAACCCACTGTGCCCCTCTTCTATGATTGGCTCATCAGCTGCCTTCCTGTCGGAAGTCTGAGAATCCATTTAGCTTTCCTTCTTCCTCATGCTTTAGAGCTCTCTCATATTGTCACTTTTACTTTCTGAATCTTATTTATCTCCTGCTTTTCCATCATTATTGATCTTGTGTTAGTTCAGACTTCCCCCTGCTTGAGCTTGTGCTGATGATCATATAAAAAGGAGCATTATAAAGCGTATTAATAGAGTATTAGTTTTGCACTAGACTGGGTTTGAGTGTTCACTCTGTCATTTACTAGCATCGTGGTTCTTGAATAAGTCAAACTCTCAGTTCCCTTGTGTTCTCATCTTTAATATGAGGATGATAATATGCAGGAAAATTGTAACGGCTGCATGAATTAATATACAGATAGTAGAATAAATGGAAATTCCATAGACTAGCACCTGTCATCCATTGATCAAAGAGTGTGAGCTATATGAATAATGATATATTCATTTTTTATTGGCCTTGTCACATTTAGTGTCTCTCATACAGTTGTGCAAGGTGGACCATATCATCCTGCTTCAAAGATACAAGTGAATACTCACCATCAAGAAAAAAAAAACCCGAAAAACGAAACAAAACAAAAAACTCTTCAGTTTTCATTCATCTCTCCATGCTCTTCCACTTCCCCAAGGTCTTCCAAATTATATTTTTTGTGGTCAGATGATGTTATCTTAATCTTATACAAAGTATGCATAAGTGCATTTTAGAAAACATTGACATTTGTTATTGATCTTTACTTAATCTAAGTAAAGACAGTGTGTTTGCTATGCAAATACAGCTTTGAGGCAGATCCCCTAGGAACTCCCTTTTCAGTTCTAACCACACCACTACCCCCGACTTTCCTCTAATGTAAAATTATGGAACAGTGGCTACATCATTGAGCTGAGACACACAATGAATAAAAGGTAATTGGTAGACAAGATTTGGTCATCTAAGGCTTTGTGGGCCATGTACAATTAGAATTTTACTCTAAGGGAAAATGGTCCGCAACTAAAATTATGTACCTGAGTGACCATCTACGTTTCACAAAGATTGTTTTCTGGGGAGAATGGATATTTCCATAAGTTCATAACTCTGAATGTACCATGCAGAATTTAAGCTAGACCTTAAGCATTACAGGAACTCAACACATGATTTTTAAACTAAGAACATACAATCTTCATAGTTGCATGCTGTTTATTTTCAGGTAACCTATAATGATAATTTATGTGTGGTTTTAGAAATTAAGTTGTTTTAAACCCAATATGTCTATTTTTAAAAAAATTTCTCATTTTACTTTTAAACATTGTTTACATAGTTCAGAGAGATGCAAACTCATGTGGGTCCCCAATTAGGATGAAGAGGGTTGAAATATGGAGAAAGGTATCCAAATGTTTCAGCTGTTATTTTTTTTCTCTAATGTCTGCAGGGGTAAGTAGGGGAGACTCACTCCTTGCTACCAAATTACTTAGCACCCTACTTAGCACCCAGGGATGGGGCACGGTCATTTGATGACACCTTATAGACCCCATTGTGGGGAAGAATGTTCTGAGGGTGTTATTTGAGTGGTTTTGATAGTTCCAAAATGTTGTATAATTTGTTTGCACAGAATTGGGAAAATATTTTTTTTAAAGATTTGTTTTTATTGGAAAGGCAGATATACAGAGAGGAGGAGAGACAGAGAGAAAGATCTTCCATCTGATGATTCACTCTCCAAGTGACTGCAGTGGCCAGAGCTGAGCCAATCTGAAGCCAGGAGCCAGGAACTTCTGGGTCTCCCACGCGGGTGCAGGGTCCCAAGGCTTTGGGCCGTCCTCGACTGCTTTTCCAGGCCACAAGCAGGGAGCTGGAAGGGAAGAGGAGCTGCTGGGATTAGAGCCGGTGCCCATATGGGATCCCGGGCATTCAAGGTGAGGACTTTAGCCGCTAGGCCATGCCGCTGGGCCCCTTGTAGTCTTGTTTGAATTGATGGGTGCTGTGGTCCACCCCTACCTGTCACAGGCCCAGTCTTCATGTAAGCCAGTGGGTGCCATGGCCTAGTCAAGGTGACCCCCCCCCCACAATAACTCTCACCAGACCCTCTCCCAGCTCCCCCCCCCCTTTTTTTTAAGATTTAGTTTATTTGTATTGGAAAGTTAGATATACAGAGAGGAGGAGAGACAGACATGAAGATCTTCTGTGGGATGATACACTCCCCAAGCAACCGCAATGGCCGGAGCTATGTTGATCGGAAACCAGGAGCCAGGAGCCTCTTCTGGGTCTCCCACATGGGAGCAGGATCCCAAGACTTTGGGCCATCCTCGACTACTTTCCCAATCCGCAAGCAGGGAGCTGGATGGGAAGCGGGGTCGCTGGGATTAGAACTGGTGCCCATATGGGATCCTGGCACTTGCAAGGCGAGGATTTAGTCACCAGGCCACTGTGCGGGGCTCAAGATAATTTATTGTTAAAAAAAAAAAACTTGGATAAGTTCTTGATGTTAGCAAGTGATAATCTTAGTAGGTATCAAGGCCTCAGGGGGCAGGGCAAGGATGTGGAACAATTTCAGAAACCTTAGAGGGAATGAGTGAGGAGCAGTGAAGGGAGGAGATGGGGAGATGGAGTGAGTCTGCTTGCTGTGTTTTCACCCCGCTCCTCCTAAGATCCCATTTCATCAGGGATCTTCAGTAAATGCAATCACAGCAGCATCCCCGTGCCTTCGGAGGGTAAGTTCCATGACCTCTGGCAGACCCCTGATACCATGGGCAGTACTGAGCCCTGAATCACCTTATTTCTCATACCCTGCAGCCTTCACATTGTTGTGGGCTAAGGACTTGATTAGCATTTGTTAAGCTTGGCTCCTGCAGGAAATGGGCTTGGAGGCTGTGGCACCTGGTCTGTCAGACTCATTAGCATCCGATTGTTCTGCTAGAGGCTTGGGGGATAAGTATATATGGCTGAATAAAGGGAGGCCAAGAGATACCTCTTCCACCACTACTGGTCTCCTGTCGGTGTCTGATTCCCTGACCCTTGCCGTGTCCATGCTACCGACTCAGCTGGCCGGGACATGACATAGTACCCAAGTTCATCTGTACATTGAACCCAAGTTCATAGTACCCAAGTTCATCTGTCCTTCCATGTTTTAAGCTCTACTCACTGAGCCATTGTGCTGGGCCCAAATTTTAGAACATTTTTATCATGATCTCAAAGAAATCTTATATCCTTCAACTGCAATCCCCCATTCATCTATCTTTTTCCCAGCTCCAGGCAATCTCTCCCCTATGTTCTCTCCCTATAGTTTTGTCTGTTTTGGATATTTCATATGAATGAAATCATGTAGTATTTTGTGATTGGCTTCTTTCAGTTAGCACATCTTTGGGGAGTCATACATATTATAGCAAGTATTGGTATTTTATTCCTTATGGCTAAATAATCTATTGTATGTATAGCTGTATTTCATTTATCCACTCATTGGTTGATGGACATTTGAGTTGTTTATGCTTTTTGGCTGTATGAATAATGTTGCCATAAAAATTAATGTAAATAGGGAAGATGTTGTGGTGCAGCAGGGTAAGCTGTGGCTTGGGACACCCACATCCCATATCAGAGTGTCAATTTGAGTCCGAGTGACTGCTTCTGATCCAGCTTCCTATTAATGCACCTGGGAAGG